TCTACAGGAGAGCTTTGAATGTTCGGGACTGATCGGATGTTCAGCTGACCGTGATTGCAGGAACATTGTGCGACCATCATCATGGCTGCGTCTGAATTATATACAAAGGTAAACATAATCAGCATCTCATAGTGTGAACATCAAATGCGAATGTCAATGCAATGCCGATGTGTTAACGCAATGTCAGTGCGTACATGCGTGTGAAAGTGGGATTATTGTTGATTCTTATGCATTGCTTGGAGGCATAGGGCTTATTTTGTGTTTATTGCCTTCTGATTATTTGAATGAAGTAATTCATCACGCATGCCTTATGCCGATGAACAACGTATTGTTTAATTTTATACGAGGATATGTTTTATACTGCAGTCATATGTTGTGTTTTTTAGAGTTTTTCTTTTGTCTGCATTGCCACACGATTTGTCCTTTAAATTTACAACCTTGGATTGCAACATCTTGCAGCATAAAAACACAGCATTTATATAAATACAATGAAGTTTTTCTTTTGTCTGCATTGCCACACGATTTGTCCTTTAAATTGACAACCTTGGATTGCAACATCTTGCAGCATAAAAACACAGCATTTATATAAATACAATGAAATGTGCATGAAACCACCTGCATTGCTTGTTATTTTTATTGAAGGTGATGCATGCAAAGATGTTATGGACAGTATTAGGTAGACTGTTGATAAGCAGATACCTTCAGCACCCTTGGGAACAACAACGATTCGTAGTATTGGACATGCAAGCAGAGGTTTTCAAAGGCCTGGGATGTATCGATACGGGTCACAGTTGTAGTTGATGGCTGACCGCAGAGAGCCAGTGGGACGCGGCGGTGCTGATGCGAGCATCATGGGATGATGTGACCATCTCTGGTGCTGATGCGAGCATCTCTAACATCACAGCCTGCATCCACGCATCTTCCAGCATAGTCCCCTGCTGTGGCCTGTAGGCCGGTCCGCACACATCAAGGCGTGTCTCCTTGGGAAAAAAATCGATGGAATATTGTTGCGTAGCAGCCGAAACATGACATCATCACATATGTAGTCATAATGATGTCTCAGATGACGAATGGTTGGATGCTTTTACTGAAAAGAGAGGGAGAGAAGGGGGGAGGCCCACCCATCCCCCATGATGCAGCTGTCTTATTGTAGATGCACTGACGGATCCTTTTGAGAGCTGCTAGAGCACAGCACATTTATTTTGATTCAAGCTTACATGTACAGCAAGCTTGACAAGGGTTATTTTTAAAAATACGTTTGCAATTTAATGTGGGTAGCATGGTTTTGTTTAGTTGTCAGCATATATGCAATAGCCTGTTTATTTCCAGGCAAGTTGTGTATCTCGTTTAATGATTAAAGGGATAGTTCACCCAAAAATGAACATTTTGAATCATTTGCTCACCTTCGTGTTGTTCCAAACCCATAAAACGTAGAAGAGCCAAAAAAGGACATAAAGACATCGTAAAATGAATCCATGTGAATCGACTGGTTTAATGTCTTATGGTGACTGAAAAGATATGATCACTTTATATGATGAATAGATTTCATTTAGCCTTTTATTTATATCTAAATAAAGATAGCATGTCACGTTTGATAAACCCAGAAGCTCAAATATGCATGTGTGCTAAACAAGAACCAATGAGGTATAGCCTTTATTAAAGGGGTCATATGATGCTTTTTTAAAGATCATTATTTGGTGTATTTGGTGTAACAGAATATGTTGACATGCTTTAATGTTCAAAAAACATATTATTTTTCAAATACTGTACATTATTGTAGGTCCTCTATGCCCCGCCTCTCTCAAACGCTTCGTTTTCTACAAAGCCCC